ATTGCTAGATGCGTTGTGACCATCTACGATATGAGGCTGAATTCGACGAGAGAACCTCGGTGGCGCCATTCATTATGGGAGAAACGGACAAAGACTTCCCGGACAACGGCCAGATGTCACTTATCGTTCCACAAACTGTGCCCTCTCTATGCACTGCTTGCCAAAGCCACCGTCATCGCCTCCAGCCTCTTACGAAGGAAAGGAGGTGCTAATCTTAAGTCTTAGAGAAATACTTTCACCAAACATTCTAATAAAGCATCAGCTGAAGCTTAACCAGAGCCTCGGCTGTTTTACTTGCGGTTGGAGACTACGACCTTCTTGGCCGTCCCTGGGAACGTTACACAAGCTATATGTCACCGGATTGCTGAAAATGTCCCGTTTGAAGAACGCTGATCCTGCATCGTTTGAGGATGTGTTTTCAAGACCGGATCAAATAGGATGCTAACGGATATTCGAAAGCAATAAGTGTTGCTATCGTTCCTTGAGAACAAAGCTTGGAGGAAGTCTACAAGAAGTGGTACTGCATAAGTCTGAGACCTTGACCTCGTGTGACTACTTTTTGTAAAATGCTAAACATTCCAAACGCTGACGCATGTGAGACGGAGAATAAGTCTTGCTTGATTTATCTTGAACCACCTTCTGGAAGCAAAGACTAGACATCGTGCATTTCCTCTCTTTCACTATTTACGTCTTCCAAACTACCTTGTCTCCGGAGGCGTCTATTTTCCGCCTTCAACCCATCGCACATCTTCTGGAGCTTCTCATTCTCATTCTCTGACTTTTCGCAACGATCATCCGAAGCTAAAGCGAGGGTTTCATTTCTTTGTATCCAATAGGGACACTGCAAATGACTCGATTCCAATTCATCATATTTTCCTTGAACTTTGGCAAGCTTTTCCCGGATTTCTACCAACTCGGATCTCAGCCTTATGTTCGAGTCGGTAGATGCTTCGATCAAATGGTCGCAAAGCTGGTGGTTTTCAATCGTGCCATCAGATTCCTAGTGGGATCAGTCAGTCTTCTGGAATGGCGAGCGGACGTATGTCTGGTGTCTCACTGAGAGTATAGTGTGGATCTCGTCCCGGAGACGTCTCCTCTCCACCGGTCGAGACAAGTCATCTGACTTCCGGTTGGATAGGTTTGAAGTTGGCATGGTGTCAAATCAGAGGGTATACGCAAGAGGAGAGAGTATAGTGAGGCGAATGCTCGTCGATTTCCACTCAAAGAGTACAAGGAATAGGTCTTTAAGTTGTGTCTTTGTAATATGCGTGACCTTGCTTTTTAAGTCCAACGGAGAATTTTGGCCCCCAACACACTTAGCCATTGAAGCCCTATCGGGATGCTATGAAGACCGCTAGCTCTCTATTTGATTCCGCCAAGCTACGCAAAGCTAGCCGGCGATTCTAGCCGAAGCAATCCTATCAACGAGCTACAATCATGATTTCACCCACTGTATTCCGACCCCGCCCTCATGACATGTGTTAATTCTCCGGAACTTTGGAGCTTGGTCTTTTTTTTTAACCTACTTCACCCTGTTCCACCAAATCTTTGGCAGACTACGGAGTGAATTTCCTAAATCAGCTTCATTAGTCTCACAGCATGATAAAAAAACACTCGATGCTCTCAAAGTACTGCCTCCTCATTCAAGACCCAAGTAAATTCGAGTCGTAGTGGTCTTTACTATTGTTAGGAGAACCATGGTAAATCTAAGCCATCCAATAATTTAGGCGATATGAGGGGCGCTCTTCCTGGAACCATCATTCGTACCAATGCAGCTTTGGGACTGCCGACCGTCTGGGTTTAGCGCATTCCCCAACCCTGGCACGAAGACAAAAGATTGCCAACCGACGACTTATGAGCCATTTTCTAAGCTAAGTAGTCAATCAGGGCGGTAAACGGGGATCTACCGACAACCTGCTTCCAAAGAAGCCTAGGTCAGGTGTATCTCAAGCTCACCTCATCTTATTTCTGATCGCCTTGAAGTCCGTCAATTCGAGAGAAAGCACTGTCCTCTAATTAGTCAGGTGTACAAGGGAGCCACATGATTCCTCGGTGTGTATTCTAGCAATGACAACGAGACTTTAAGCGTTGTTGGAGATTGAAGGATCACCAAAGCGGTCACACGCATTAGAAGACATAGCCCTCAATCTAGACCCCGGCCATGCTTGCACTTTTGACCCCTCTTTAATGATTAAAAACCATTCATACCTCCCTTCTGACCAGAAACGCACGGGTTATAGTGGGAACAGACAAGTTCTGGGTCGTCGGGAGAACCAGAAGTCGTGTTCTGTGATCCGCGAAGGTCGATCCAGCGGTGGAGCCTGCTCCAAGAGCCAGCCAATCCACTTCACAAGGGCCCGACGATCGTTAATTTCGAGGAGCCTGAGAAATGGATCTCCACTTTTTAGCCCCGAAACACGTACTTTGTTGTGACCCAGACCTCTGAAGGCCTCTTGGCCCCGCAGCTGAAGTCGGCAATGGCTAAATGCAAAAACTTATAGTCAACAGCGGCCAGAACACATGCAATGGAACATCATATCAAATTCCAACCATTTTAGCTTTCGAATTCAATTATTGAACATGACAGGACCTATCTAGCTCGAGAAAATCTGGAGACATTTGAAGACAGTTCAAGTAACAGCGCTAATAGCGCTAGTCTCTTGGCTAACAAAGGGGGCACTGATCTGGTTGGCTTGGTAGAGTCTCATTGGGAAAATCCAACGGCGCGTAAATGGCCGACGTAGATTGGTTTGGTTTTTCAGGAAATGTGGCCCGTGGCCAATTGCGGGAGATATACATATGCGCAATGATGACCGTCACATCCGCATGCACAATCTCATGCGCCGATCGTTTCCGTTTTTTCACCAACATCCTTTGGAGTTGGGCCTGTGGGAATGATTGTCATTTACTTCTTAGCGAATGCGGAAGAGACGCGAGGCTTTCAGAGCCAAATTCATACCAATATGAATGGCTAACCTAGACACTGTCTATCCGTATACCCCCCTCCCCCTCCAGGTTTTCTTCTGGAGTCTCTTCACACCTATAGTCTTTGTAACGAAACTCTGATCATTCTCAAAGGCTTCAACAGTGACCCGAAGATGCTAGCTCGGGAGTCATCGCAGCAGCCTCTACAGAGCGACGACGTGGTCCTACAAGACGGTTCGGATAGGCTTAATACTCAAGACCTGTAAGCTTCAAGACCAGAGTCTATATCTACCAAAGGCCCAAAGCCAACTGACACATTGGAAGCCATACTCCTGAGAGCTCCACATCCATGATTCTTTCACCACCGACGATCTCGCGAGCCTCTGGTCAACAACAAGCACCTACGTCAGACGTGACTCAAGACTTGATTTCCAGGGGAAAATGTTACATGGAAGTGATTCGTTTGTATAGTGACTCATTGCGCAAGCTCCATCGTAAAACCATGGAACTAAGAGCTCGACTTGATACGTTGACACTCCACGCTGGTCAAATGGAAACCGTAGTGAGGACCATGGAAGATTGTCTCGGCTATATGGAGCATCATATCGGCTATGCTGAGCAGAGCCTTGCCGAAATTGAGCGCCATATTGGGCCTATCAGGCTGAATTTGAAAGAGCAACACACACCGGGTGATCAGTCTAGAGCCAGACTCTAGATATTAACAATTGCCCAGCCAAGGTCGAAGATAATTTCGCTCTACGTCTCTCTCCAAAGTTATATTTCTGTTAGCATGAACTCGACATAGGGTGCTCGCGGGATGGCTGCTGTACTCTGCAGCAAGCCCGGGGTCTCGGCTGATAGCTCCGATTAATGCCAGCTATATCCTCAAATCAAGAAATTATTGGATGAATATGGCTCATCATTAAGTTACCCTCTACTATTATCTCCATGCTCAGATCGCAGAAAGAGATTTGCAAAGTTTATACAGCTACATCACAGAGACATGAAGGATGCTCGACTCTGGGGATGCATTGTTTAATTGTCCATCTCATAACAAACAATATAGTTTGGAATGCATTATCTTGGAAGACGGAGTCTTATTCTCTCAAAGAGCATTTTTCCACACTGTGGAGCTATGAATGCTCCTGATTTCTCATTGCAATTCTCACCCACACTGCCTCTGACAATTTCCCTCATGCTAGTCTAAATTGAGGATAAGAACTACGTAAAATCGATCATGCATCGCAGAGTAATCTCTGCGACCCTAAACCCTTTGTCGTCACCCATACATATCTTTTGTTGGACGACGACCTCGCCGATATGGCAGTTCCTGTCATTATAGAGGAGGACTGAAAAAATTCAGCTGTGAATCTACCACTAGAAAAATAGTGACATACCTGAGCACCCTCGGTCGACAAACTCTAAGCTGGTGGAATGAATAGTATGATTGCCGCGAAATGGCACACACTGACCAAATCGGCTACCGTATATACCTTCTTCACCCAAACTATTTCCAAAACAGTGGATATTGTTCCAAAGGCGAAGTTGCGCAATCGATGGTCCAGGCCGAGGCTTGCAGATATGCACGCAAAAACGAGTAACTTCAAAGCGAGAGGCAGGCGGAAAAGCATGTCGAAAAGTTCGTCTGAGAGAATATTCTGTGAATGTGAATTCTTAGGCAGAGCCTCCAATCTCATGGGGCCAATTGGCCCTCAAATATAGAAACAGATTGAAGGCTTGCTACGATCTTCACCGCAAAGAATAGTAAAAGGCCCTAGATCCTACCAACTTCTGTGGATCAACACTCAAATGTGCATATAAGGATGTGCCGAGTGCTGTTTATGGACCTATTATACTTTGATCAACAAACATGATGTAACCGGGATGCAAAAAGAGCTCTAACAAATCAAGGCTTGATGAAATGTTTCGCAAATCTCATTGTTGAACTATCAAAGCCGCACCAGCCAACCGCCTCAAGTTTACGCCCGGATTTTCTCACTTGTGTCTGATAAGCCGATAATAGAGATATCTACAGAAAGGGATCTCCAGATCATCAGCGAGATCTAACTTTCTTCATGGCCGACACGGATATCACAGAAGTCATTCAATTCGGACAAGACGCGGAGGAAAGCAAGCAGCCTGATTTCACGCCGGATCACAAGCCAGACTGTGGCAATCCTGCCAACCTGGATGCAACCCCCGAGCAAGTACCCCCTGTGGTAAGTGACTGTGGCTTCCCGATTATGTCGACTTTTTTGGCTAATGACCGTATGCCACACTCATTGTAGATAACGGACAAGCGAGAATTGTTAGTGAATGAGCCTTTTGAGCGGGACGATCCAAGCTTAGCCTTCCAAGGAGCGCGACTCTTGGGTCTCTATCGAAGCCTATGGAAGTCGTCCGTGTCCAAACAACTCAATGGCGAGAGCCTCGAAAAGAACAACGAAACATCGGGAGAGGCCAACATGGATCTCAAAAGTGAAAGAGATGGACTTCAACTCCTGTATGACGAGCAGCAGTCTCGGTTGCTTCTTTTGGATCGAGAGCTGGAGCTTTCTCGACAGCGATTGATCAGCATTCTCAATCACTGGAGCCAGTACTCTCGTGGCGAGCTGACGGGACTGGGGGGGTCTGCGATAAAATCCAGACATTTCGGGCATTCTTCGTGAACATCGCTCAGTCGGGACGGGCGATGTTCATAAGGTACAGGTTGAACATAGTGCTGGTTCCGAGCCGGTGAAGAATTGCTACCTCCAAAAAGTAATATTGGAACATATCTCAAGGTACGAGAAGCTCGCTACTAGTGTATAGAGCTTAAGCATTGCAATTCTGTTTTTACAATCCTGTCGTAGGCAGTCCCTCGAATATAACCCATTTACTGCAATGCGGGCATTTTGAGCATCCACCAACTGTTGAGCTGCCACCGAAGTTCTAGCGCCGTCCAACCGGGTGGCCAGGGGTTGCACGGATTCATTCACGCAAAAGCTAGTCAAAAGAACGCTTCTGCCTTGTTTTTGTTATCAGTGAGCTGCATTCTATACAGTTTCGACCAGTTTTAGATTTATCGGAATGGCTGATGTGGGAAAGAGGATGAGCTCGTCAATGATTTCATCCTGTATCTCGAAGAAGGCTGGAGCTTTTTAAACGAAGGCGCGAAAGGCACAATGCGCTAAGTATTTGTTCAATAGGCTGATTCTATCCAGCCGAAAGTATTAGCACGAGATCCTGCGACTTTGTTTTGAGTAACTTACTCTTAGCAAATCTTCTGCGTCCGCCCATGACAGTCGAATCAATTGGTTTACTTTTTCGTGACCCAGTATTTCATCGATCCAGGCGTCTACTGCGTTCAAGTCCCACTGATTCTCCGTAGATCGCAACCAAGGAATATCTTTCTTTATTGAGATAATTTTCCGCTTAATAGCGCTTGCTGTTCGATCATGTCCTCGGCGAAGTAATAGACAGCGCAACGCCTGTGGGCAAACCTCTCTGGACGAAAAGTAAACCGTAATGATAAATTCATCTTTGGACCAACTTGATCCTTGCATCACGCCGGGAAACGCTGCCGCGGGCCGGTCGGCTGCCCCTCAATGTGAAGATGGCATGCGGGAAGCGGATGAGGTTTCTGTCGGTAATTACGTGAGCATCCAGCTACAGAATAATTGTCAGAAGCGGTGAAAGGCAATAGAAGAGCATACGGAAAAAATAGGGGAAATCTGTGTTATTTTCATGTACCCTCCCACCACCAGCGCATGACATACCCCACGCTTCGTGGCACAGCGCTCTAGCTCGAAGGCATTCGTATACGAATTTGTTGACTGTGATATGTACCGAATCTTTTATTTTACAGCCCTTTGCCATAAATAAGTTTTAGCTAAAATTTATCGGGGTTTATTTTACGCGGCGCGCTGGCCATGTTGTTGTGATATGAGGCTGGTGCAGATCAGGAACCAAGCCGAATCATCGGAATTAATCCCGAGATATCTATACGAAGAACCAAGTTGATTTCCAATCAACTTGTTCTTCTCGCTGTATATATATAGCCTAATGTTTCCCTCTGAACAATAAGACAAGATAAACCTCTGAACTACAACACATGTGTCAATCGGGAAGGCAATAGCGCCGGAGCAGACACGGAGGAGTGATGTAAATGGGTCTTCGGGTGACAAGCTAATATTCACTATTGGGTATTAGTTCTTGGTTGGCCCGGTGTATTTCTTTCTATTTCCTCACCTCCCTTCACCATTCACCACCTCTCGAGGTCGGAATTTTCGGCAAGAAAGATAATACACGACACACCCAATTAAGATGAAGCACCTGGGCTATTCCCCGGCAGAAGGCTCCAGCATATTCAGGATCACTATTACCCCGCTTTTTGACGATCAAGGTGCATGACTGAGGCCCTGCAAATCCATACCGTTTCAGTAGAAATCTGCACAGAATATAGTGTGTTCTTCGACATTGGGTGCCATGTTGGCTGGGAGTGGGCATAAGGGGGTGGGGTCGAATGTTTGTCGGCTGGACATTGGAGGTACCATCGTGTTTTCAGACACCGGCCACATAGGCGCTGAAAAACTGTATGGGCCGATGTAGTTGGAGAGTTTGGCTAAAGGATAGAGCATGCTGGAATTTGGAGCTGCCATTGTCTGCGCCAGATTGTGACCAGGGAAAGTAGCTTGAGATGGGTGATCGGCGCTCTTTGTACTACCGGCATGGAGATAGTCGATGGGCCCACGGAACCTTTGTTCATGAATAAGGTCGAAGCGTGGTCGAATATGGCGCAAAGATTCAGCCAGGGAAGGTGCACTGAGATTTCCTCGCATTACGTCGTCGATTGTGTAGTATGAGACAAGGTGGTATGTGGCTCCCGATACAACGACGCTCATGGTCTTCTTGATAAGGCCAGATTCCTTGAAGTCGTAAGAATCAAAAAGCGATCCCACCAATGTCTGCCCAATTTCCGATTGCAATGGATGGCTCGCGGATGAACCTAGCGGCGAAAAGAAAGGGTAGCCAGAACCACTATCGGTGTATCCGGGATAAGGCTCGCCCGGCCGGGTGAAAGGGATAGGGGGAGCCAGTCGACGATTGCCCCTCTTTATGGCGCGCCTCTTCCCGATAGGTGAAGACTCCTCCAGTTCGCGATAGATGAGAAAATTACTTCGTATACGACTGGGGCTCCATGTGACACCGTCAGTCCACCGCCTGATGCCGGAGGACTGCTCCTTGTAGATGAAGATGTTACCGCTGCGCACAAGACGCGACCGTTCGCGAAAATAGGGGCGACGGGGAATAAGATGCAACGTGCCGATTAGACAGGCCTCAAACAGGATGAGTGCGTCCTGCGTGGAGGCCACATACCCACGGAACGTGGGCTCTAGCATGGGGGACGAGGTCTCATGCACCATAATGGATGAATGGCCGAAGTGGAGGTAGGCGTGAAGATGGTCATGATCACCGCGCGGGCGCCATATCAGGCTAAGGATTGCTGCGGCTAGTTGTGCGCCCGTCGATCTTCTAGGCCTGCTAGTCTCCGCTGGGCCCTTCGAATTGTTAAGTCACGCCACGGATAATTGGAGCTCCTAGGGCCGCTAACCGTCGTTCCCAGGAATGCAAGCTCGAAGAGATACATATCCGACTTCGGCCCTATCCAGATGTTTCTCGAACACGGCATCATGGTAAGCAATGGAACTACCGCCGGATGCTGCCTTGGGTCGGCATGTTCAAGTGACCCCGGAAAAGTGGTTCATAATCGCAAGGCGGCAAGAAACAAAAACATAAACGCGAGATGAACCGGAAAAATCATGCGGGCTGTGATTACGACGGCACAATGCGGACTCGAAGCCTTTCACCATTAAGGGAGAGACCGCTGAACCCAGAGACCATGTCAATATTATTAGCGTCATAATGGATACGCGACTCAAATACAAGGAGCATATCGCGAGGGCAGCATCCAAAGGGCTGGAAGCAGCAATGGAGCTGTGACGGCTTCGGGGTCAATCCCCAGCAACAGCGCGGCAGCTCTTCACATCGACCGTGGCCCCGGTGGTGGACTATACCTCCAATGTCAGGATGCACGCTTTCAAAAACAAGTTCATCGGGCCGATCAACCGAGTCCAAAGGGTAGGAGCGCAATTGATTTCCGGGACATTCCTCACAGTTGCGACCAGCGCAGCGGAAGCGGAGGCTCACTTGGCTACGGTGCAACACCGGCCCTGGAGACGAGCTGCGAGGATGTGGACAGACATGCACACCCTACCAGCAACCAATCCACTCTGCAAGAGTACAGCTCAGATCAAGAAATTCAGAAGGTACTACCGTTCGCCATTGTATCACATTGCAGACTGCGCTGAAGTGCATCGAGATGGAAACCCCGTAGACCATCAATCCATTCACATTGGCACTATGGGAGAAACGTGTACAGGGCGATGTCAGGATTTACCAGAGACACGGTCCGAAATGGGCGGGGTCATGCGGATCGCGATCAGCAGTTTGGCGCGGAATGAGATGGTAGGATTTGGCTAGGGCGATTGAGAAGCAGCCGCCTCAGTATCGAAAACTGAGGCTGAAAACCTCCTCCGTCACGCTGGGTGCAAGGATCGAGCAGAATCCATACTCAGGGGGATTGGCAGCAATGGCACACGCATTGAACACGCTACGAGGACTGAAACGGTGCAAATTCACGCTGCTCACGAGCAACAAAGCGGCGGCACTCACGCTGAAGAATCCTCGACAATAGTCCGGCCAGGAACACATCTGCCAGGTATACAAGTTGATTCAAAGACTACGAAGACACGAAAACCGGATGGACATCCGCTGGGTCCCAACCAGTGAGGAGAATCAATTGTTGGGCCAGGCGAAAGAGCAGGCCAGGGCCGCGACGCAAGACGACACTACCCCAGAAGCACAGGCCCCCCGAATGAAGTCGACCACCCTGAACATTGCACGATCCCAAGTCGCAGCAAGTCAATGCTTGCCGGAGAACGTAGGCAGACATTCCAAACGAGTAAATGCAGAACATCCAGGGAAACACACGCGGAAGCTGTCCGATCGATTATCGTGGAAAGAAGCGAGCGTGCTAGCTCAACTCCGGACTGGCATGGCGAGGCTCAATGGATACCTCTATCGGATCAACATCGCAGAGTCAGATCAGTGTGCATGTGGACAAGCTAGAGAGACCGTGGAACACTTCCTCTTTCGACGTCAGGGACCATACACCGGACGGAAATGCTGCAATGTACCCAAACTCACCGAGGCAACATATCTTTTTTTCCTAGGCGGAAAATCGCCTTTGGACGACCAAAACTGGAAGCCGAATTCGGACGCAGTGTGAGCCTCGATACGATTCGCAATCGCCACGGGCCGACTCGACGCCTCTTGACCGTGCCAACCAACAGATATCAATCATACCCCGCCCCAACCCCAATCTAACCCTCACAAACTGCCTTGTGCCGGAGACGGTAGACGCCCTTGAATTGCCGAGGATAGGATGTTGAACACTTCAAGAAGCGCCTTCAAGCCAGTCTACTATCTAAACGCTAATCCACAAGGAACCGCTAAGATATTGACATCCGAGATGACATACACCGAAAGGAATTTTGTAAGGGCTCCAAGGAGACACAGAATTAGCTAAGGCATGTATATTTAGATCAGTGATAGTTGCCCTTTCGGTTCAGCCGCCGGCCGATCATAAAATGTGTGTGTGTGTGTGTGTGTGTGTGTGTGTGTGTGTGTGTGTGTGTTAACATAGACATGCCACAGTTGGTTATCGACCTTCGACCTACACCAAACTTTGAGCTTCCACGACAACGACCACTGCGTGTCCGGCGTACTCGATATAGACACACATAATCTGGCAGATTGTCCAAACCTGAGAGATATTTGAAGGATATTACACGGAAATAGGGAACGTCGAGTTTCGAAGCGTGTCGAGCCTGCTGGGAGGCCTAACCGAAGGTAAGAAAGGGAAACCATTTACCTTCTCGCGAGCTAGGACGGTCAATGCCGTACAAGCCTTCGCCGAGGCGTTACAACGGGTTTGGAGTCGCGTGCCACGAGGGAAGTCTAACGTTGGAAATGGCAATTAGGCCACGATAGGCCTTGGCGAGACTCTAAGTTCGTTTTCAGGTAGTTTGTACACTAACTTGTACGTTCACGGATCAGTACATGTAGCTGAGGTAGCCTAGATATCACATTCATAGCCATTTATAAGCCTTAACCACCAGGCGAAGAACGGATTCGTTTTTGGTCTGGTGGTAAAAACTACATTTATTTGTGGGGGGGTCAGGGTAAATGAAATCCATCCATCCGACTGTTCCTCCACAAAACACACTGTCGGTTCAAATTCTTCTGCAATTGACAACCCCATTGTACAATATGCGCAAAGAGCTTGATGAAGACAGTGGTGTCCTACTGGCCCACCCAGTGGGCTTGACATGGCGGTGATCTATGAATGAGGCCCCAGGCCAATGCCAAAGCGGCCCTTGAGATTGCAGCGGAGTGTGGTAATACAAATTCCCCAATATAAGTAGCAATCTTGCAGATAGCGAGTGATATATGGTGCATTTCGCTGTCAAACTACCCATCTTGCATAAGAGCAGGCAAAAATGACTCAACAGTAGGCTGGTCGATTGACAAATCCAGCGTGGAGAGCCCAGGCAGTTCTGTTTCGACAAACACCCGAGGGCCGTAATTGTAGTCGCACACCATATAGAGCTGATCCACGGTCGGGACATATCTCCTCTTTATGCATCTTGCCTCAGTCGAAGGAGCTCTGTGTCACTTTAATCTTGAACTGTGACGTGAAAGATTAAAGTAGCAGAAGGAGCCCACGCACAAATTCGCAAAACAAGGTCTATAAATTCAAAGACCGAAGGTTTTTCTGAGAGATCATATCCTCGATGGAGGTCATGGTTGCTTTCAGCAAGGTGGTATCGGTGGCGTTGGTGTAGTGTACGTAGATTTCGCGATCGCAAATCCTGTTGATGCCTCGGAAAAGATCTGCAAAATACTTTGCGCCTGCACGCCAATCCGTACTTGAGCCTCTGAAACTCGAAAAGTATTCAGAAATGGGCGAGATGGCAACCTTCTTCTTAAAGATATCTATTTTGTTCAAGAAGAGAATGATAGGTTTAAGTTTGAACCAGTCACCATTTGCTAGTGTGTCAAAGAGCATCATTGCCTCTGACATTTGATTCTTTCATGAATATGGCATTAAAAATCCGACTAGATTACCATGCCGCGGAATGTACGTACCGAATTTTGATCTTCAGCCAAACATTGGTCGTAGCCCGAAAGCGCAACCACAAAAACAAGACATCCAACGTCCTCGAAGCAGTGGATCCACTTCCTTCGTTCTGATCGCTGACCGCCCACATCAATCATACGCCAGTTCATACTTCTTAATTCAAAGAAGGTTTCGGAAATTCCTGTTGTTCTCTGGCGAGCGTGTAGCATGTCTTGATCGTTGGGGAGCCAACCTTGGGAGGATATGCGATCAATGGAATCCAAAAAGCTAGAGCAACCTTTCAGCATCGCCGATGCTTGAAATGACAGATGTACTTACTAAAGAAGGTTATCGTGGAAAGCAAGGTTGCGACTCCGCGCAGCAGCCCTCTGGACCCCTCGGTCGGCCCACACGTCCTTCGCAGCATTGCAAGTCGCCATTGCCCATGCAGACCTATCGTTATCCGCCGCATGATCTGTTTTGAGAATAAATTTGGCCTGGCACTATGATTATCCAGGAGATCAACAAATTGTATCTAAGGGCAATACGCAGAGCTGGGGTGGTCACCTTATTGTTTTGGGTCTCGAAATCAATATTTTCCGTCCTCATGATATCGAACAGTGCCTTGAGGCCAGAAACAATACCAGAATATATAGCAGCTCGCGATTGTTGACGTTCATCCTCGGAGAAGCCATCTGAATAGATTAGACGCATCTGCTTCACGATTGTTGACTTCCCGGATTCACCCGCCCCTGAGTCTCATATTAGAAGTGTCTAAGGCTTCGATCGCAATTAATCGTCTATATACTCACCAAGCAAGAGCATTTTCATTGTTCTCGCCATCCCCTTCTTCTCAGTTTTGATGGTTTTGTCGATTTTAGCGTTACGCTGCAATGCTTCATTGTCTGCTGAGCTTACCGTTGGCTTGAAGATCAGGCAATCAACGATGCCGCGCTTGACAAAGCTCATATTGGAATGAGTATTTGAACTTCAAGTCGTCAATTGAACGGAAACCCACTGGCAGTGGGAGTCCCGTTTCTAAATGCAATAAGACCGCAAAAAAGCTTGGCTAAATATGGGGCAAAGTAATATTCTGAGAAAGTAGAGTGTACGTAATCGTAACGATCCGGCCCAGAGAGGACACGTGGGGCAAGACCCCCAACCAGCCAGTCAAGAATACTTCCTCACTAAGATCGGCAGATTTGGGGCAACTAGAAAATGAGCAGGCTCGGATGCTGGACTAGGGGAGGCTTAGAGGGTTCTTATTGGTTAGTCCTTGAGGAGGCTATTGAGTTTCACGGTTAGCACAAAAGCCCCGGCACAAAAGCCCCAATTTTCAGACCAAACATAATTAGGGAACTAATCATCACCAAGGGTACCTCGAAATAAAGTTCCACCACGAAATGTATTTGGCGGCATCGAGATTGGTGTTTAAGCTAGCAGATACACCGAACTCGAAGGTCATGGCCCCGAAATTTTCCCGATCTGGGCTTACGTTGCTCTGCCCGTTATCCGCAAGCTGTTACCCAGGTTCAAGCTACAAGACGCCCACAAATACATCACCGCTCCCTATTTTATCAACACCGGTGTCAATGCCTCCCAATTTGTCACGTCTAATTCCAAGTCCCGTAATTCTCCTATCTATATCTCCAGCGATAGTAGCATGTCTATTACCAAAAACAAATCCTATCTGGGTACCATGGATGTCTCCATTCGCAAAGACATCGACAGTCACATGGACAAGTCTTCAATTGAATCACATACTTGAATCCTGGCAATGAGCCCTGCCGGATGGCTCTCCCCAACGGACTGTGGTACTAGGGAACATGGTTTCATAACACTATATATTATTCGTATACCTGCAGATTAGACAAATATTGACTGCGTTCATGCGCCGGCCTTGGTTCTCTCATAATGACTTCCCATTCGCACAAAATCCTCGTTGCTGAAGTTATCTACCGAGACGTCGATCATTCTTTTCCCATCGATTGACGACTCTCGTCCTCTCCTCGATGTATGCAAGAAGCTGACCAAGTGACGCGGGCTCAGCTCATGTGTATTTCTACTATTCAGTTTTCTGCCGTCCATGGATCGGAAAAGGGACCGGATGGAAGGAATAGAAGTCGTCACGATGACCAAATATGTTTCAATAAATAGCCAACGGTCGTAGGTGACTGTAGCGATTGTTGGGTCACTGTCTGCGGCTGCGAGGACGCGAGTTTGTACTGTTTTAATAATTGCGGCAATCATAGCACTTAATTGGGTTTGGATTAATATATCAGTGAGCCCAAAGTACAAAGTTGTACTCACAAAATACCCAGTCCAAGCAAAGTCACCAGCCCCACTTTGACCCGTAGCCTCAGGTTCAAATTCCAGAAAGTATATGTTGAGAAGATAGCAAGAGACAAATCAGTAGTCGCATTGAAGGCTGTTTATACGCATGGTGTCAGGAGTATTATTGCATACTAGAAACGGGGACGACAGGTTTATCTCACCTCCTTGGAAGTACCCATAATATGCTTGCACGTGGACATCCCAGCATTTCCTTTTGCCGGAATAATCCCAGATTGCCGATTCATGACCTGGACATTGGACAAAAATGATGATTATAAATAAAGTGTTGACCACCACCTGCAGACCAACCAAGGTCCACAATGCGATTTTCTGCGATGACTTCTGCACAAGAAGCCCAATTATGAAGACAACAAAGGACACCCGGCCCATGGCACCGCCTGCAAGGCAAAATGTTTGAGTCAGGTAGTCGTGCATGATGACTTTTGAAACATTTGATGGATCAATAGCTGACAACTTTTGACCGAACCCCAGTTGAATGGCCAGGGTGATCATAATAGAGCCGACAAGAGCCGTGCACTAAGAGAAATCAGAGAAGTTAATTTTTTTTTCGAAATGTAACAAGTCTGACATTGTTTCACAATTTCAAACTTTAGTAGGTAAGAAAATAAGGCTTGCTAACCAATGCGAAGGCCATGAGGAGATCATCCGCGCCAAACTTCCCGATCCTCAACTTCGCAATAATCCTCAGAATCACAACTACGATGGCGACCGCTGTGAGGCCCCAGACATCTCTGAGCAATCGCGGACCGGAATCATATGACGAATCACTGGTTGAAAGAGGCATGGTAAATCAGATGCCCGGGCGCAAGGCATGGAAATTCAGGACCGCAGGTATCAGCACAGTCGGTCAGCAACAGAACGGTTTTAAACTGAAACTCATATCTTCGTTATCATGGAGGATGGGAAAAAGAACTATCCCCTCAGAGATCTTCATGGGAGCACTCATGTTCGATGCATTGACCTGGCCAGTTAGACTTCAAAGTGGTTGAATAGGGTTTGTCGGAGGTCTCCGCGTCGCCAGTTGGACACATAAACCTAGATAAGAGGCTCCCGGCACATCGCTTATTGGCCAGGGGTATGATAATGGTGCAGGTCGTGATTGGCCTCTGCTGAATCCTATACCACCCGATATGTGGTACGGCTGAAGCGATGGCAAGAGATCTATAGCAAAGGAAATAGAAGGTTGATCAATTATCCGCATTCTCCCAATATTAAGTGAGCTCCCGCTTCGTGCTGGTACAACTTTCCTCGCGGAGTATCACATGATACGCCGCCCCATCGAGACCATGCTTCCGAAACAGCTGTCTCGTTATCTTCCCAAGCAACCGCCAAGCCGCCCTTCGAGGGCGTTAAAGTGATCTGGTGTGGCATGTACCGGAGTAGACGTCGGATATGGCGCAGATACCTCATCTCAGCGGTCCGAGGGGTCTGAGAGTCTCCAAACACTGACGAGATGGAAAGGGATAAGAGTTCCTCAATGATGTGGCCGCAAAAGAAAGGTTCCCGCTTTCCGCTTTCTTTATTCGCACTACGAAGAATCCAGTGTCGGCACGACGTTCGCTGATGTGTATCGTCAAAGTCCAGCCATCGGCGGTGGACCTTCAGTGTCCTTTGCTGAGGATTATACACAACATCCGCCCTACTATCGAATCCTTCGACATAAACCGCTTGAATTCTCTGCATCGAATCCAGAAAAGCAAAACATGCTCTCAGTGCTTTCCGCACAGTTCTCGAGAAGGTGGTATCCGGGGGGGCTACAGACCTCGGTCTGGAAAAGCACCGAAAGCTCTTCTACAGTACTACGGATAGGTGTAGTTGATCGCAGAAGACGCCACAAATCTCGCGGTAGCCTCGCCGGCCTTTTCCAAAAGTCTCTCGTATCATCTTGACATCCTATATTAGCGTTGGCCCCTGTGACAACTGATGCGTATATTGGACTTCCGACAAACCTGGGCTCCGGATGTTTGGCAATAGAAGAAATCCTTGCCCTTGGACTCGTGTAGCAAATACATCCAGATGCGGGATATCGTCGATGGAAAGAGCAAATCAGCAGCCAGATCAACGTCCATCAGCGCTGGTGTTTTTCCGAGGAGGCTCACGTGTATCGGGAGAAGGACGTCCTCGTGCGTTTGAAGTGCGGACTCCCAGATCCGGCACACTCGCTCTGCCAGTCCATGTCGGTCCATTAGCCATCGCCGATCGCGAGTGAATTCCCCCTTTGTAAAGGTATAACCAAGTTTTAACGGGTAAGTCGAGTTTGTTCCAGAGATTAGCTCACCGTGGGCATAAATCCTACCGAGGAGATTTTGGTCAAAAAGCAGGTCCCCGTGGCTTGTCTCGACAACCGAGGACGGGTAGGAGAGGCCACGAATATCCAACGATATTTGCAGCCACTCAAGAAATTCTTCAGGTGCCACCGGCGGACCCTGGGTGGTGCGTCCAGGGCCGATGAGCACGGCAATATCTCGCTCGGGGTGGAAGCGCAGTCCGGCAATATCTTCGGCCCAGTCCGTCCGGGTGGACCCAGATTGGCGCGATGGGGTGATGGTGCAATGGAGGCGAGACCTGCATGGCTCCCGCAAATCAAAATTCCAGGAACACCGGCTTGCCCCCAGCTGCAGCCTATACCCATCCCGGGACAGAACCACGGCTGCCAGTTTGAGACCGTCGTCGTGGGAACCTGCCCATTGATCCTCTGCCCTTGGTAGCGAAGCCCAACTCGAGAGCCTCGACGGACAATTGCATACAGGCATTCGCTAAAGTGACCCGACTGGGCTTTTCATCATACTTGATGAACACCAGGGATCGGCGGCCCTCGGTGTCCGCGGGGTCTGGCGCCATGACGGCATAGTGATCGCAGGCGTCGACGAAGTATGGCCGGAAGGCCATTCGATCGATCTGGAACCGTTCCAAGATGGCGTCCTTCCTGTTTTCTGATTAAGCGTCATGATCAGACAAGATGACGGACACATACTAATTCTGATATAATTCCCGAAATGCATCGGCAGAGGTCCAGTGACTCACATAGTGAGGCGAGATCCCGAGCGAAATCATGCGTCGCGAGTGCACAATGGCCGGGGACGTGCTTTGCTGGCATTGAAGGAGCTTGCATTCTAGCTGCTGATTCGCCTCCTTCATCTCGCAGATCGTCGCTGGAGTAAACACCCGCACGGACGGCCATTTCTTTGCACAGGACGTGCCTCTAGGGATAATGGCTCTATCGGCTGTTTATATGCGGTCTACCACTATCTCTGGAGTATAATGCTGGAACAATAACGCATGGCCAAGTGGATAACGGTACCCAACGGCATCATTTTATGATAGAATTAAGCAAGGTTTTGATGTGGGAGTGATGCTCAGCCATCATCAACCGTACGGCTCATTGTGCCATCCCTTCTACCTGAATACATGGGGTTTCCCGGGCTTTGTTCCAAATCTGACCATCGTGGCTTGGTAACAAGAATGCTGTGCTGTTATCGATGGCATGAAGGCTGTTGTGATATGAGGCTGGTGCAGATCAGGAACCACGCCGAACCATCGGAATTAATCCCGAGATATCTATAGAAAGAACCAAGTTGATTGGAAATCAACTTGATCTTCTCGTTGTATATATATAGCCTAATGTTTCCCTTTGAAAAATAAGGCAATTGATACATCTGAACTACAACAGGTTATGAGCCCGGCAGCAACTCTCAGGTGCCGTCTCTACTCATCTGAGAATCATCTTGATAATCTTAACTATATATCTACCCCGCTTTCACAGCCATCACCATGTCTGCTCTGGTTCACGACTCGCCCGACCGAGCCGTCACAGCCATCGAGCCTCTGACAGGAAGTGACAACTTCGCGACGAAATCAACGAAGAGCTGAAAAGAGAAAACGCACGGTTGGAGAACGAAAAAGGGTTGCTGCTGGCTCATCATGGCGAGCACCTATCTCAATTTTATCATTTGAACCAAGCGCTGGAGGCGTCTCGAGAGTGACTGATCAGCATTCTCAATGACTGGGAGCATTCCTCGGAAGGCCAAGTGGCAGGGCTGATGACTTGCGAGAGAGTTCAGTGATTGCTTCCTTTTAAGATGACCTTCTGTTATCTCTATTAGAGAGACCTACATAGTTATAACGACTTGTATTTATCTTTCAATATTATATGCTACCTTTTTAAACTTCTTTCAAAATAGATCTCATGCATTCTCAGAAAAAGTCACCATGTGAATTGCGATTATTTGGAGAGCACCAGGACCATCGCATGGATTTGGAGCCATACAAGCTGCAAAGGCCATATCCAAAATATCTTGTGGCTTGCAAGAGCGGGCTAAGGCTGTTAATGTGATATCGAGAGCTCAAAGGCACAGCTAGATTGAGATGAAGAAGTATAGACCGATAGAAAGGCTTATCCTGGTTAAATAGATGCTAAAGTTTGGGGCCAACTAAGCTATCATGGAACATATCAAAGGTGGCGGTGATGGGGCTGTAGACCCTCACCCCCGAGCACATTTGTGGCTAAACCTTCATAGCGCTTTCGAGTGACATTGTTCCGTCCAAAGCAAAGGTGTGTCTAAAATTCCACGAGGTGCATTGTTCTACACATCAGGGTCTATCGATATGATAGTAGGGTGGATCGACGATTTGCAAGGCTGACATGACACTTCCATGCAATGCGCTCCAGGCATGTCTCTAATTCTCGAACTCCAGTGCCTGTCGGTTGCAACACACAAGGAGGTTATTATTCTCGTGTTCCAGCGATTCATTTGGCTCGTGTATCTGGCATCGCTCATCCTCAAGACGGATATACTCCGCCGATTTCACCACATAGCTTTCCCATAGACACAGATACAAATATAACAGTCTTAGCGCAGGAAAGGCAAGGTTGACATTACGGCGCAGGATTTGGTGTAGAGATCTGTATCACGCTGTCAAGTTTTGTTCACGTGGTCCTCGGAAGACACTTACCATTGGCCTCATGATGGTAGAACATGCGGTTGGTGCAGGATTTTCTGCTTCTGAGCCACTACCAGCGTCTTCGGAGAGACTTCGCTTTCTTTTTGCCGGTCGGACAGTCGATGAGGGGTATGCAGTGGGTGGGCTCATTGGTGAGGAGTAAGAGAGGATTGGGCAAGCACAACAGAGAGGACTTTCATAAGTCTTACATACGGTACACTACGTCGGAGATGCGGAATCTGCCATTGAATCAATCCGAGAGATGGCTCAGCTGGGTCGGAGGTCGGCAAGAGATTCATAGCTGTCGGAATATGGCAAGTTCTTGATAAACTGATTAATGGCCCTCGATCGGAAAGGGTAATGCTGAAGAGATGAAACACTTTGGAATGTTACCGTATGGCTGAGCAGATGGCATCAAGACTTTCTGAAACAGGCTCGCTAATTGCGCCAGGTGGATTGGCCATTTCAACCTCGGCTTCAGAAACGATCAAGGCGCAAGCGTAGTAATATTTCATGGCTTGGCCCATCAGATTGTTAAAGCTGGTTTGGTTTAGAAGATGAGGGGGACGAGGGGACATATCTCTGTCTGGTCGAAGTAATATTGACGCGTGCCCTATGACGAGAAAAAATCATCAGCGATATTTGCTGAGCAACGGAGAGCCAAGAACGGATAGCAATGGTAAGGAGATTGAAATGTAGTACGGGCACTAGCATGACTTACAAGACATTTAGTGACTCGCGATAGAAAATTTGCCAACCTATATAGAGGGTCATCAGCGCATGATATCTGCCTTGGAAATTGCGGAATGTTTTGAAACTTGCGTTCTCAGATATTGCTGTCCA